ATATACACTCGGATAACTGGAAGTTTAGGAAGTCCCGTGCAATTATTCTCATAAATATTGCAAATGTTGGAATGCAATTTTGGAAATTTATATATCATACATTAAGAAATATACTGCAAAACAATATAAAAAAATTAATTGAAAACATTGTCGTGTCTCATGTCGAGGTTTTTTAGATGACTATATGGTATCGATTTTTCTCATTGTTGACGGCCTAACTGTAACCTTTATTGCTTTCATCTCCGCCATTTGAACTCTATGATAGTTCTCCTAACCGAGATGGTCACGCTTAAATGCAATGGTTAGACGCTGAAGTGAATTGTTGGTCCAGCATAAGCGCCATTGTGACATTGTGGCGCTGTATTATGGATAGCTACGATGAAGTGCGATAGTTGTAATGCTGAAGTCCGGTGGATTACATAAATAATGTTTTAAATAGATTTTCATGTTCATATGTCGATGTAGAAGTCAATTTGTATGTCAGAAGATGCTTTTCAGTTTGTATCCTTCTTCTTGATTGTAGCCCGTCGTTGTATCTGTTAGTATTTAGTACTTAACCAATGCAAACATATGAAGACATTTTTTTTATTTTAGCCGATCGACTAATGTAATAAAGTGTGTTCAATACTTTACCAGGACAGTGTACGATTTGATTTTTTCTTACTATACTGAATGCACTTTCTACTGTAACAACCTTTTTTGTTGGTGTGTTTGTCAAATGTATTTGTATATTAGTTTACATTCTTATGTCAGTTGTGTTTGTATGTCTATGATATTTTTTTCATAGTGTTGGCTACTGGACTCCTATTAATGTCATGTTAACCAATTATTTCTGATTGAGTTGCTCATCCAGTTTTGTAAATAAAAAGAAACCATAAACAATTGTCATACTAGTGGGCGGTTTAATAAGCGTTAAAACCAGGTTTCATCCACCATTTTCTGCGGTGAAAGCATGTACCAAGTCATGATCATGAATATGACAGTTGTTTTCCATGCGTTTTATTGGTTGATATGGTAGAGCGTTTGATTTTGTCAGGTTTTATGCACTTCCCTCTTTATGAATTTACCTTGGACAATGTTGAAGTTTGGTAAATGTGTAAATACTTTTATATGTAAGACTTCTGAATATGACGAAACATATTTTGCCTTATTGTCAACTGTTGTTCAATGTACCTGACGCTAAACCCATACGCAGATGTGTAATGCAATCGATATATAAAATCATTGCCTTGATATAGATAACGAATTTTATTAGTAGTTAATTTGAGTAATTCAAATTATGGAATCATTTATATAAACAAGCAAATTTTTATAATACTTTATTTGAATTAGTAATATTAAAGGGATCAATGTTACAAATTTAACTTTTACATCATATAAAAGAGGGATAAATGATACCAGAGGGACAGTCAAACTCATAGATCGAAAACAAACTGACAACGCCATGGCCAAAAATAAAAAGACAAACAGACAAATGATAGTACAGATGACACAACATAGAAAACTAAAGACTAAGCAACACGAACCCCACCAAAAACTGGGGGTGATCTCAGGTGCTCCGGAAGGGTAAGCAGATCCTGCTCCACATGTGGCACCCGTCGTGTTGCTTATGTTATTACAAATCCGGTAAATAGTCTAATTCGGTAAGTCACATTCGTGAAAAGGGAAGGGTATTGTAGTTACGACATAAGGAACATATCCGATATCATCTGTGAAACGGTTATTCCATAACGGTCAACCAACGCGTGATGGCGTCCATAAAATTTACGAAGGGATGATCTCAGCTTCACCATTTGGAACTCTTGGCTTAATAGCTTCCTTGTGAGCAGCAATCCTCTTTCAAGGAAATCATGATAGGAAACACAAGCCCGGGAATATCGTATCAATTGGGAGATATATACTCCGTATGCAGGCGCTGCTGGAATGTTGCTACATAGAAATGGAAAGTTCACAATTGGGAAGCTGAAATCATCTCTTTTGTCGTAAAGTTTTGTTTTCAACCGACCCTCATTGTCAATTTCTAGATGTAAGTCAAGATATGAGGCAGACTTAACTGTATCTGTAATATCCTTTATCTCTAGGTCGATGGGATAGATTCGCTCAACATAGTCACCAAATTTTGTATTATTTAGTGAAAGAACATCATCTATATAGCGAAACGTAGAGTTAAAGGATATTGCTAACTTCTTATCTTTCTTCCTAAGAAGTTCCTGTATGAAGTCAGCCTCATAATAATAAAGAAACAAGTCGGCAAGAAGAGGGGCACAATTTGTTCCCATTGGAATTCCGACAGTCTGTTGAAAAACATACATACATAAAATATACATGTAGCAGCATGTATAGCACTGTCATTCCTTCGGTATAGTAACAAACATTAATATTTTTTTTTATTAAGTCTTGACAAAATAACCATGCAGCAAACCACATCACAATGCTTCAGAAATATGACGGATTAATAGATATTTGTTTTGTTTGGTTTAGATCCAATTGCAAGTATTTGAATCAAACTGGAGGCTTTGACACATAATAAATTAGACATTTAGACGGTCGGTTTCTCAAACGACCGGAAAGATGAACAGACTTTCGATCGCCACAGAAAAGAGAGGGTATGTAAGATAAGGACAGAAATATTGCATATTTAAACAAACCTACATACGAACCCCTTAAAAGTACATATAATAATGATTTTTAACGAAGAAGGAGATGTCCCTAAATGAGAGATGATGTACGCCTTTTTGTGCTTCTTCGTTACATTTGTTTGTTTTTATAGTGATTAAGATGATAACACAATGTTGACTGCTGTACCCCTATTTTGACATTTTTACCTGTTGTGTCTGTTTGTTTTGTTCACGCATCGTTGTCAATATAATGGAATTTGATGCGACTGTCATACAAGTGAGAGGTTTAGCTAGCTATAAAACCAGGTTCAATCCACCATTTTCTACATAAGAAAATGCCTGTACCAAGTCAGGAGTATGACAATTGTTATCCATTCGTTTGGTGTGTTTGAACTTTTGATTTTGCCATTTGATGAGGGACTTTCCTTTTTGAATTTTCCTCGGAGTTCAGTATTTTTGTGATTTTATTTTTTTTTCCAAATGTTCATTGAAAAGGCTGCAAAATTATAACCCCAACTAGCCATGCTGATGCCTATTGGTTGTTATCATCATGATTGATTTAGGTAATTAAAAAGATGTGTGCAATAAAACTGATAACAGATGTGTACGAAAAGGATTAAATAAAATCGTTTTTGTATGTAAATCACATTGCATAAACTACTTGATAAGTGAATTAGCCGAAGTTATACATGTTATAACGTGTTAGTTCATAATGTAACGGTCTGGAGGAGGACATGTAACCTTAACCGAATACATTATTCTGACTTAAAATAACCCCTTAACAAAAAAACAAAAACAAGTATTCACAATTCACTTGAAAACTGGACGTTCGCCCCCACCACATTTAACAAGGAGGAAATCCTGTATAATCATAGGTTTTTTCAATGTTCTTTTTGGAATTTCAACCAGAAAAGAACTGGGTCTTCCTTCGCTGTATTGAATACCTAAATTACATGAAAATCCCTGTCTTCTTAGTGCTCCATGAAACCTCTGTCTAAATTATAAACATCAGTTTTGATCAGCAATCAAAGACGGGCTTCAAAGTTCTTATGAAAATACCTTTTCTAGAGGTGGATTGAATCAGATGAAAAAATTCAAAGAGCTTTTAGGGTACATAAATCTAAGACTTTTTGTTTTTTAATAGTTTACAACCTTTGACTTTTTACACTTTACAAAAGTATTCCCCTTTTCAAACTAAAAGACAATTTGAAAGAATTGGTGCTGCTTTGTTTCAAAAAAAAAAAAAAAAAAAAAAAGGCCAACGAAAACACAAGTATCTTGTCATTAGCATGAATAAATCGTAGTTTGTTAAAAATCACTCTGATTCAAACAAAACATTCTCTGAAACTGACAATATCAAAATGCTTGATTCCTTGATTTAACATATTTGTTACGTTTGGAGGATATGTTTTTCTACAAATAATCGGCATTACCATTGGAATCAACTGTGCCCCTTTTATTGCCTACTTGTTTCTTAATCATATGAGTCTGACTTTATAACATGTATAAGGAGCTTCTTAAAAGGAAAGAAACAAAAAAGTAAGCATCGTCCTTTAAGAATCGATATAAATCAATACTTTATGACAAAAGATATGATTTCAGCTTCCCAATTGTGAACTTTCCATTTACATGTAGCAACATTCCATCAACGCATGCATACCAAGAGCTCCCGGTGGTGAAGTTTATTTTCGACTTATGAGTTTAAATGTCCCTTTGCTATCATTCGCCTCTCTATTTGCAATAAGTAAAGTATTTGGGTAATTTTGGTATCAAATGGTAACTTAAGTACTTGGGATCATGCACTGTAAAACCCTTGTTGGAAGTTTTTTTTAATAATAAAACAAATGCATAAAATTAAAGTAGGTGGACATATTTGTCCTGTTGATAAGATCAGAAGTACTTGTTTTTGTACTACCATATTTCTGGAAACCAGTGCGGTCTAATATGTAACAAAAGGTATGTGAAAATATTTTTTTTAGCACCGGTCAGAAGAAGGTATGAAATGACTGTTGCTTTATTTTAACCCAATATATACCGGATTTGAATACTTGTAATAATTGTAGAACTTTGCAGAGAAAGAAATTGTGAAATACATTTGATGGCTGGTATGATGCACTAAAATTAATGGTTTAAATTTGTTTAAATATATTCATGTTTGGGGCCGTTGGAAGGGAGCGGTGAGGATAATGTTCCTTCTTAATTATTCCATAAACTATAAGAGCAATATAAGTTTGTGTCAAATTAATCATTTGAAAAATAACATGTATAAGCATCAATGAAAAATAAAAATGGAATACGTACATACAATAAAACCATTGTAGATACAAGAGGTATAGAGACGGTGCACAACATTTAAGAAATTAAAACAAATTGTACAAAACATATTTTTACAAACCTTTATATACAATACAGTTATTTCATTGCAAGTTACAAGGATAACTTCTATGTATTACCACAAGCTTAATACAATTTATGAAAGAAAACATTTCGAGAGATTTTGGAAATTCGCTTTAAATCGAAAGATGAAATTTTCTAAGATTTCTTTATAATAATATGCCCTTCTATCTTATCTTTCATTTGAGACTATTCCAGTAGTGTTTCTTTTATTCATAATATCGCAGCTGACAGCAACATTAATAAAACCCTTATTTATAGAAGTTTTAAAAACTTTTCAAAAATCACATTCATTAATTATATTACAATTTTACCAACAAATATATACTGTCGAACATTACAAATTAATAGTAGTTGGATAATGTATCAAATTAAGAAAATTTACCCTTATTGTAGATTGAACACGACCGAACTGGTGTTGTCCGACTTTCATTATCATTAAACAAGTTAGAAACATACAGACCAACAGTTTCTCGACGTTTCATTCAGGGTAACATGCAATATATAGATTTTGTATTTTGCAACTTTTGCGATTTTTGATTTTTTTTTTGAAATTAGAAAATTTCTTTGAAATAGATAAAGGTAACAATAAGTGATAAAACGAGAAAAGCCATACCCCTGTTCACGAAGATAATTATTTATCGAGTTTTGTTTTGTTTTTTAAAAAAAATGTCATTCATGCATTATGCACTTAACTACAAAAAAGGGATAAATTCAATAAACCCATATTTCTGCTGTAATTCAGTTTTCTCTGCAATATTCCCCTATCGATTTGCCTTTTAATAACGTACATATTTGTCTTCCTTTTAGAAAGATGCATAAATTTCGACAAATTTATTTACAGTTCGGTTACAATTTTATAAACATTGTTACAAAGTTGCATTTTTCTTAATAAATCAGATTTTATTTTTACATAAAGATAACTATTGTGAAGAGTTTTGTAAAAATTGGAAACTACATGCACATTCAGTAGATACACATTCTGGACAGTATTTAACCAAACTGCTATGCAACAATTTCAACGTTCTAGCTAGGATGGCATTTCAATCCTTTGCAGTAGTTTGCCGATGTTGAAATCTTATAAATCGATTGATAAGACAAATCAAGATATCAAACAAAACTGAAGGAATCAAAAGGAGCGAGATCGGGTTAGGCGACAAGGTAAGCGCTTCGTGCTGTGCATACATCACCCACAATGCATAAACAGTTGCATGAATAACCATCGCAAAAACATAAGATCAACAACAAACAAAAAAGTAAGCAACTACAAAACAAAAATGAACAAGAAAAAACACACCAGGTATACTGATGAAGTTTCAGTATCTGATGGAAATTCAATATCTCTGCCTTGGAATTTTTTCACATATAAAAGTTCGCAAAACAGTTAAAAGGAGTTTACGCTTTATGTGTTTTCACTCTATACCTAATACATTTCTTTATTCAGTTTGGAAAATTGAGTCCATTATAAAATGATGACGTCAGGGTTTCAAAATCTTCGTATTGCAAGACGTTCAAAAATAAACAAAATCCTCCATTTATTCCGGTATTCATTGCATGAAATATACTCTAACATTTACAAATGAACATGATTTCTGTTGGTCGATCCGACATTCTTTCGACCGGATAAAGACTGTGCACATCGTGTTAGTTTACTGTTCGGAATCTACACCAGTATGCGTATCTTAGGATGGATCCAGCAAGTCTTCGTTCAAGATAAAGATTGATCACATCATTGAGGTTAAGATAAGCATTTAATTTATTAACTTGTCCAATGATTGGAATTTGAAGTAGGGAACATGTATATCAGGTATAATTTAAATTAAAGTTGATAAATAGTTTCTCGTACATGTTTTGTTCAAAATCGAAAGTTAAGTTTTTTTCGTTCATGGCAATACTCAACAAGCATGATTTAAATATTAACGACCAGAGGGACGTCATCTTGGCGTCTTTTTTTTGTGATATCGAAATCTAATAAATTGTTTACAAGACATGATAAATATTGTTCAGTAAATTTAAGCATTGTTTATCAAAGAAAGTTAAACCAATGTTGTATAAAATATACATTTATAACAAAAGGAAAAAGGAGTACACATTTTTTTTCTTTTCGTTCAGTAGATTATAAGCATTATATGACAATGAATATTACAAAGTTCAACAGATTCAAGAAAAATGTTATGGTCTAAAATACACAATTCTATAAAACTGCTAATTCTTTATATTATCATACATCCCCTGCTTTGTATGTTCCTGGCCTGAAATATATGTTGATTCAATTATTATATCAGATCCAAATACTGTTCATTCATTTTTTAGAATTCTTCACATTGAATGTATATATATATAAAATTGCGGTTTTTATCCAACGTTGTTTTCAATTTAGACTTATTTATATTATTTCGTTTGGGCTTGTATTATATTTGCCTTCGGGTTTATATGATCCGTTCATCCTATTTCGAATCTTCAAAATTCAAGAGTCTATCCTAAATTGAGATAAATTATATGGCCTTCCAAATACCATTTCGATTCCTAACATCACTGAAGAGATACTAATTGTCGAAATCCGGATATGGTGTACAAATTTTTGCACCTGATGTGTGCGGTATACCATCTTTTCCGCAAGTTCATTGTTTTCTGTTTGGTATTAAATTAATAATAAAGATCCATTTTGTTACATCTTGTGATCCGTTTATTTTGCAATCGCCAATGACAGTCAGCAGGGTTTAAGAACATTCGTTGTTCGACCTGTTAGTCAAATGCGTTTTGTTTGAATATACTTTTCACTTTTTTTGTCTTTTGGAAAATGTTGTTTGTGCTGTATTTAGACTCCTCTACCAAGAAAGTTGTTTTGCATGCACACGTATAACAATTGCGGTTTTTATCCAACGCAATCATAGGTTTGAACGTTGTTTTTAAGTTAGACTTGTATATATATATGTATATATATATATATATATATATATATATAAACAAGTCTAATATGAAAACAACGTTCAATATATATATATATTCACATTTATGCAGTGGAATTCATTAGTTAATTTTGAATAGATTATTATATTTTCATGTATTAAGGATGTGCCACGATGCCAGTTGAAAAAGATTTGAGTTCAACTCAATATTATTAGATATTACATGAATAGGAAAACTGTGAATCTCTTTTGTGTTGTCTGCCTCGTATGATTTTAGAGTCATTCTAAAACGCTAATATAACATAAATGGACATTTGAAGGAAATTAGCAATGTCAATTTGATGATTATGATGCTATACAGTTTCCCGAGGAAATTGAATTTTGTTATAAAAAAAAGTATTGCATGCGTTTAAATGTCAATTTGGACTGGCCCAGACGTGTATCAATTTCCAAATCTGTTTTGCTATTGTTTTTTTTAAATTTAGATTATGGTTTACATGTAGGTAAATTTTTGAATAGATATTTTCGCTTCATCTGACATACATGTACAGTTCTAACCTCTATTTAGAATTGTAAGTCTTAGAATAATCTGTTGTAGAGAACTGTCGCAAACTCTTCTAGGAAAAAAAACTGTCTGAATATGCAACAGCTCTAAGACGATCATCAAATTAGGTCTCGATCATGATTGAGGATAGTTCTAATTAAAGAAAATCAGAGGGAAGTTAACTGACTTTCACTGTACGACATGTTATTGACTAAAGGAACAAAACTTAAAATCAATACAGTCTTTGACCTGTCTTTGTTAGTAAGTAGTAATTTCCGTGGATTTTTTTGAGACATGAATGCATAACCGTTCTGTGAGTTAGCCACTTCTATAATCAACATTAAGTTTTAGGTGATATTGATTTACGCAAAAAAATATAGTGGTTTAAAACTTACATTACTGAACATTAATTATTGCATTGTTCAATCATTTGTATTGAAAGATATGTGGCTAAGTATTATGTTGTTAATATATGAAAATAAATAGACAAACAATTAAAATAAATAAATAAATAAAGAAAGAAAGAAAGAAAGAAAGAAAGAAAGAAAAGAAAGAAAGAAAGAAAGAAAGAAAGAAAGAAATAATGAAAGAAGTAAAAAAAGGAATGGATAAGAAAAACAAACATAAACACCTAAAAAGGGATATCCAAACTGTTATAAACAACGGGTCTGAGTATGAACTGTCAGAAGGTGTTCTATACATTTGAATATGCACGTTAAAATAAGCTATGGAACATAGTCAATGGGTTATCTTGCGCTTACGTGATACAAATCACAACTTTACAAAAACATTGCAAATGCGTTTTTTTTTTTTTTGTATATACATGTGAAATATTTCAGTCACTTAATAAGGATGTTCTTAGGTCAGGTTAAGGAATTTTCGTCAAATGTTCGGACTCCTTGGATTTTTTCCTATTATATAGGGAAAACTTTTTTGCCCCATAACACCCCCTTTTCTTTTCATATAAGACTTCAATAGCTCATAAAAGGTCATTTACCAAAATTTAAGCAGATTCTAGATTTCTTTTTTTACAATTTGAGACCCAAATAATGTCAATGCTAAACATAAGGTAAAAGTCAGAGTCAGCTTTTTCCCTCCATTTTAAAAAAATCAAATATTTCAAAATGGAATTCCATAACCTATCAATATTTCTGGCTTATTTTGTTTAGTAACTAATGCTCTTCTGACTTATCATATCAATATCAAATTCTAGATATTTTTCTATTTCACCTAAGTACGTCCTTAAGTACAATATAAGTTTTACCGCTTTCTTGTTTGTCTCTAATATCACCACTCTTCCTGTTTTCCATAGTTTGAAATACTTCCACATCAGTTAATATTTCACATTCATCATATGTATCAGTTTCCATACTGCTTAAAAAAATATGTTTACATCATTTCAATAACTAAAGAACGAAATTAGACTAGAACAAATAATGTCAGGAAAACAGATTTAAAACAAAGGATTCATTTTCGATATCGTGGAAAGTTTTGCCTCGGTTGTAATTATAATGGAACATAATATGTCATGTTCAGATAAGAAAAATGAATTAATAAGGAGGCATTGGCAATATCAAATAGTAAGGGATTACAGGCTGATCTGAAAATATGTAAGTAGTTCACGGTAGACCAAAACAACACATATTTCCGATATCAAATAAATCCTCATTGAAGAATTTCAGAAACATGTAACTAGCTTGCTCGATGGGTATGAAAAGCCATCAAAGTGTTGTCAAACTGATAGATATTGCCTTCTGAAAAAAACCCATCCTTAATACAGAAGCTGACTTTATTTGATACGTGTCCCTATAATTTGTCTTGAACATTTTATCTGTCGAATCCATTCTTTTTTCCACGATTTTGACATCACAGAATGATGCATTATCCCAAATGTGTACTTTCCATGAGCCACGCGACAGGTAAAACATATTGAGCAGGACATACTTTCCATTCTGGATAAATTGATATCACCTCCCTCCTTTTATGTAGTGTTGCTTAGACTGTTTGTCTTGGTATGTTTATTGCCATGATTTTGTCGGTTTCTTTTAAAAATAGTGATATTTGATTTTTCCTATGGTATCTTTCCGTTTTTTTATTCTGTATATAAAAAACAATATGTAATACTGGTGGCGAATAAAGAATGAGTATGTTATGAATGGTGCCATAAATGAGCAAAGCTGTTAAAAGCGATGGTTTCCGATTTCGTCTGCAGGTTTTGATTACGTCATCATCGAAATTGTATAATAAAAAACGGGAAAACAGGCATTTTCGAAGGGATTTAGCAAACCCCGACCAATCTGAAATATAATGGAGTGCGAACGTATACACTGGTTATGATAAATGGTGATATGAATTCCAACAAGCATACAGTAAGACGGGACGACAGTTTATGTTTTGATCAAACCCTTTGGAAATGAACGTATTTAATTCATAATGATAAACACTGCCATCGGCCAAGTGCTATCAAGGAATGGAGAGGGCAAAATCAAATACCGCAACTTAGCTTGTTTGTACAATCTTAACATTTTTTGTAAATAACGTTTCTGACTTATGTTATACGTATCTTAACTTGCTTGTTCATCCTTTACTGCCAAACATCTTTATTTGATTCCCAACAGCTTTTTTTTTAGCGACGAACGTTAGTGAATCATACAAAGTTATAAACTTTGTAGATGTGAAATAACAGGTTGAGTATACACAAATGTATTGAATAATTAATTAATGAATAAATTTATTAATTATTTTCCTTCTTTCTTTATTCATTTATTATATAATTCACGTATGTATTATCTACATCTAATAATTTTTTTTTATTAATGTGTTTATTATTAACTATATGATTTATGTATGTTTGTTTTTTAATTAAACTCGTATGCAATAGTTTATTTTACGACGTTGTCACCAAGATTAAACAAATGCACGTTTTGCATATCCTAAGATTTTTATATATACCTGTCCGCCTGAACAGCTGTTGATTCTGGAAAATAAGAAACGTGTAATACACATTGTATAGTCGTTCTTGTGTCTAACAGTATTACGTTTATCTTGTGTCCTAAAAAACATTGCTTTCATTTTAAACTTTCATACTCGGACACGACTATGGGAAAAAGAATTAACCCGTACTAATGACTTTTTTATAATTAAGTTCATCAGTCCGCTATTTTCAGATTCCAAATCAATGGCAATGACAACCCAATAATTTTAAAAGTAACATGATGGCTGTCGAATGTAGATCAGTTACTACTGACCCTTCCAGACCACCTGTGTTTATTCAATGTGTTTAGTTTGGTAAGTGTTGCACAGTCGTTTACATTTATGTAATGTTTTGTACCTGTTGTTTCGTCCTTCCGTCGTATTTATTTTTGGTGTTGACTGTCTGTATTTGACAACAGTTGTGATTGTCTCCTTGGCATTTTGTGTGTCTGATTTCGGATCTTTCCATGTTTTATCTACAGCCGTAATTTTGTTGGCAGACGAAGCTGGACAATGAAGCATGATGCATAGATAATCAACAATATTTGATTGGCAAGACAATGTCCTATCCAAACTTTTCGATTGGATAGGTTAAAACCAACAGTTCAATAAAGACATATGAGTACAGATTTTCTTGTGAGCCTGTTTTGCACATTGCAAAGTTTTCCTCGCTGTCAACGGGCATATGATCTCATCAGTTTACTTACTCTTAATAATATATTTAAATTTTTATAATGAAATATATTTACGTCCTGCATATAGATGTAGAAAATTTTCAACTAAGTAATAGTAACTTGAAGTTACTCTTCGACATAGTGTGTATTCTTTACTTACATTTATTACCAAAATTTACTTTTTCTTCATGTAATAAACTGATTATCTATCACTTGTTTAGTTTGTTAACAACTTTTCAGTTTTATTGCGTTAGTTTACAAATACTTGTGGTAAAAAGAGGTTTTTAACAATGCATAACTAGTGTGCAAAAGTCATGTTTGACCACTGTAGAATTTCACAATTATTTTGATTTAAATGCATTTGTTTCCTTGGGAATGTAAAACAATTTTTGAATTTGCAGAAACGGGATGATCTTTGAACTAGATTGTGAATTTGTTTCCCCTAAATAGTTTAGTGCGGTCATATGCAAATCATCCTTGCAACAGCATGATCCGAATATTGCCCTTGTGCTGTGTCTATCAAAATAATATTTAAATAGTTGAAATGTACCATAACGAAAAAAGGCAACACAAAACATATGGTAGATATTCAGCATAAAAAGAAATACATGTACGATTGTTTTAATTTTAAAACCGAACTTGCCTGAAATATAATTTGATAACTAATATCGTTTTATAGTTTTTGCAACAAACGAAATGATAATCTCAAATTTGATGTTTTTTTAAGAGTACGCACGTACCTGTAGGAGACTGCAACGTCGAGTATGCATCTGTAAACGTCGGATTGCTTCTCTGTATAGCTGTATATTCATCAGACCTACATATAGATTCCGATAAACTTTTAGTACTTGAAAGTTTTAAGATAAATTACAACCCAGTCTCTTTCCATATCTGTTAAATAATGCACAAAAGATGATTTTTCATAAGATCGTTTTTTCAAAGTGTTATCTGTGACATTACATCCCAGCTCCTTTGTTCTACCAGGGGTGATCTGAGCCGGATCACCCCTACCAGATCACCTTAGCTTGAGTTTCTTTGTTCTGCATGCTTTCCTTTGTTCTGAACCATTTTGGCGGGAATGTCAAATTTATACTAAAACTTAGACATATTTATACGGAAAAGACTAACTATCAAAATTTATGTTGAAAAATGCAGTGTCTATGCTGGGAATCGAACTCATGACCTTTAGCATATTAACACACGAGTCATACCCCTACACCAGCACGACTGGATACAAATCAATGTTAATTTAACATATTTAAGCATTGTGTCCGGGGCTCAATAAGGGTATATACCATATAGTAATATTTAAAGTATATAATAATGATTGTGTGGCGTTCTTAACTAGGTTTTATGAAGTGTAAATGTTTTTTTTATCTAATCTAGAACAGCTGGGATGTAAATAGTTATCCTATTTGGACTTGGTGTGTCAGTGTTAAATCACCTTCTGGCCTCCGGCCATCGGGATGTTCTTACACTGACACACCGCGTCCTCATGGGATAACTATTACTTAAAGATATGAACATAATGTTCATAATGTTTTGTAACTTTTTAGACGGTATCGTACAAAAATCAATACATATATATTCAATAACGCCCGGTAGGTAAATAATTGCTTAGCTGCTATATACGTACAAAATTGCATAAGTTTTACAAAATTTACATAACACTGTGTGATTACGTATTGTTGTGGAACTTCTTTCAAAGAGACTCTCAGTTAAGGAGTTAAATATCCCCACCTTAATAAAAGATACGGCAATATGTTCGACAAACAGGGACCTTATTGTGTCTCAATTCTGCTTTGATTGGTGGTTAAAAGTCAACAGCAATTGAGTTAAATCAGCTTCGAATATTCGTCATTTTGCGGGACTACCACTTTTTTCATCTGTGTGATGGAATGATTCACGAAATCAATTGAATCTTATGAATACAATAATTCTTTTCAAATTTAATATATACATCACACTTTTTTTTAAAGGAAACGCATGCTGTGTGTTTGTTTATTCTACATTAGCTAGAGGTATAGGGGAAGGGTTGAGATCTCACAAAACATGTTTAACCCCGCCGCATTTTTGCACCTGTCCCAAGTCAGGGGCCTCTGTCCTTTATTAGTCTTGTATGTTTTTAAAATTTAGTTCATTTATATGTTTTGGAGTTAAGTGTTACGTCCATTTTCACTGAACTAGTACATATTTGTGTTTAGGGGCCAGCTGATTCGCGCCTCCGGGTGCGTGATGTTATCGCTGTGTTGAAGACCCATTGGTTGCCTTCGGCTTTTTCTGCTCTTTGGTCGGGTTGTTGTCTCTTTGACACATTTCACATTTCCATTCTCAATTTCATGCATCCTCAAAAATAATGTGGTTGATTTGAATGCAGAATAATAGTTCTTGGTTGATCAATATTTGCATGCCTATTATAATTGCCTTTTGGATGCCAGGTTCATTGTTGGTATCATTTTAAAGGGATACCAATAAACATTGTCATTGAAATTCTAGTATATTGAAGCGTTGACAGTTGCCCTTAATTTCTGAAAATAGGTTGATTTCCTATTTTTCGTTTAGATAAAACATAATTTTGTTTCAAGATCAGGTAGAACTTAATTGCCCAATTATTAAATAAATTGCAAGACTGGCATTTAATAACCGGATTTATAAGACCAAATCGTTCTTTGCATTATCTTAAGGTACCAGAAATTAATCAATTTATTTTTAATAACTCATGCTGGGCAACAATTTTCTAAGTAAGTTTTAAACTGAAAGGTACATGGATACGGACCAAAATGAGGTCGCATTATTGTATTTACGATATACAGAAAGCCTTCCGTAAAACTCCCGTTTTTCCTCATCAAGAATATGTAATTTCAATTTCTCTGAGATTATTTGGTGCATTAAACATTTTGCAGTTAACAAGTCATATAAGTAACTAATTTAAAACCTAAACAACTAGAATGTAAAGATATCTATTAAGATATCTTACATGGGGAACGGCAAAATAATACTAATTCAAGCATACTTTTAAATAAGAAAGAAAAAAATAATGTTTAAACTTTTTAAGATAGTTTAACGACAACTCCATCTTTTTGTTTATATTGAAAAAAGAGATGGAAAAGTACAGACAAAAAGTTCACTACACTTAAAAATAGTTTTAACCCCGAAATTACCTCTATATATTTCCAACTCAAATCAATTACTGTGTAACAGTTATAATACTTATCGCTCCATAGTCAGTCAGTGGCGTTTTTTTTTTCTGTGGGTTCGAATCCCGTCAAAATCAAATAATTACCACATAGTTCAATTAATAAGGAAATAAAAATCCAGTGAATATCCTGGAAATTTCACTTTTCAACCATCATGATTGTCTTTTTTCATATGTATCTGCGTCTGTTTATTTATTCAGACTTTGATTGATTGGATCAGCATTCTCGGTAATTCATGCATAGCGGGATACGCTTATCCCGTCGACATATCCAGTCTCGATTCTTTTACAGTTCATTCAATTCCCAAAGTATCTGTGTTTTTTTTACCTTGACGTGTATTTTTTATTTATGAGAGTGAACATCAATTAACTGCTGTAACCTCTCATTTACATAATAGCCTTTCATTTCTTAGAGTTAATTAGTATTATATTACTGATGTCACTTAAAACCAAAGTATTACTTGTGATAAATTATTTTATTACAAAAAGTCTAGGTTAGTCTATGAAAAGGTATATACTATGAAATTTAGAGAGAGGGGCTTGCCCAGAGCTCTAAATTTCTTAATTTATACCTTTTCATAGACTATCCAATTTAGCACATATTTACAACTTGAGTAATCTTTTAATTGGTCTACTGGTAGTTTATTTTTGCTACTTGTATCACAGGTGTTTGTAAAACGGAGCTGATTAACGATGTTTTGTAAATCTACTCACTAGTATCATTGTAAAATATTTGATTTCAAAAGGCCCTTGACTCCAGAATAAAAAGATGGTAGCTGATGGTGTCAGTTTGTTTATTGATAGAAAGCGGTGTTTTACTAGACATGTACTTCTTTACATGGTAAGAAGAAAAAATAAATTGACGAAAAGCAGGCAAAACATTTTTGCAATTGCACAGTAAAACTAAATATATAATAAATTTGAAATATATAGATAGTATGCAGTGACGGATCCAGGGGATAGGGGCTCCGGGGATTGTAAAACCCACTATTGTGGACGATCGATGCTTTTGAATGGGGACATATGGTTGGAATTTCCCTTTATCCTAGGTTCGAATACCTCTTTTAAAAATAGTTGGTTCCGCCCCTGGTATGTCCCGATAGATAGTCTAGCGGATAGTCATTAAAAAGCAACTACCAATAGATCAAAGATACCAGGATTTATGTTTTTTTTTATTTCAAAGTAAAAACTAAACGATTTATCAGAACAAGTATATATATATTAAGATCCATTTTGTACTGGTGATCAATTTATTTGGCAATCGCCAATGGCAGTCAGCAGGGTTTAAGAACATCCGTTGTTCGACCTGTTATTCAAATGCGTTTTGTTAAAATATACTTTTTCACTATTTTGGTCTTTTGGAAAATGTTGTTTGTGCTGTATTTAGACCCCTCTACCTAGAAATTTGTTTTACATGCACACGTATAAAAATTGCGGTTTTTATCCAACGCAATCATAAGTTTGAACGTTGTTTTCAATTTAGACTTAATCTTCATCAAACGGCTTTTCAATTCAAGACATCGTCCTAAACATGCATGATATGTTTGCCACTGGACATTAATCATCCAATAATCAATCAATCAATTCATGACGATATAGATCCAGTTGCCTTAATTTCCTTTCACAAGGTTTCATAGTACACACTTTTTATTGTGTACAAAGTAATTGCATGGATAAATTATCACAATTTTAAGATGTCGTTGTACTTTAATCAAGGTATAAAGAACCATATGTGTTACTCTTTATTTATACGAAAGAAACTTGCAATCGTCAATAACATTTTTTAGATCCAAAGACTTTAATAGCAGGATATTTAAAAATGAATGTGAAAACTAATTACAAACTATTGAATTTAATTTGGAACACAGCATTTTATTTCAAAATAGCCAGTGGCAATTTTTGTTTTAATATCTTACGATACAATGAAATCTTACCCTTGTGGTAATTCATGCGTAGTTTCTTAGTACATGTGAAAAGTATGTACTATGAAAATTAGGAGGCAAATTCAGGCAATTTGATTGGACGAGAAGTTGTAAGTATGTGCTAATGATTGATTTGAACACATTTTGAAAGAAGGTTATGTAATTTTTTAACAAATAAATTGAACTTAGTGTTTGTTTCTACTGTATTTTGAGGTGTCGAATTATAAACATGGATAAAATATACTATATTTTGTTCGTAGTACATACTTAGTAGAATTTACATTCGTTGGGTTCGAACCTGAAAATATAAAAGAATCAATTAATACAAACCACTTTAATCTTCGCTTTTACATGTTTTATAAGATACCTGAAAATAACAAGCAAATGATAAAAACCAAAAACAGAAACTATAAACTCTAAAACCCCGGAAGGACAAACAGGTTTTTCCTCAAATTGTCGTTTTTCATGAGAGGTAAAATATAATGTTAAACGTAACAGAATGTGATACAATTTAAATGTACTTCAATTATAAACGAATGACTATAAAGGTAGACGGTAATCTAAAACAGACACTAGAATCCAATTCAGATCTGTTCAGACTATGATCAGAATGTTCATGATCAATAGTTTTTATTTACCTGTTCACAACTACGTCATATTGAATTGTCTAAACACCTACTGAATAGTACTTAATTGACTGCAACCGAATTTCCCGGAGTGGATATGACTGGAAATTTGACAGAAAGACTGAGCATGACTGAATAATTTATTGTTTATTTATCAAACTGTTACGTATATGGTTAAAGTTGGCCATATTGAACAATTATGTAGATTGATACATATAATAAATGACCAGAATAATCATAATCCTTAATACATTTGCAGTCAACGAAGGACATCATGTACTAGTTTGCGATTTTGTCTTAAAGTTGGACGGACATCAACAGTTCTTCAAACAGAAAAAAAAAGAACAATGTATAAATGGTACCAAGATAAGCGGCTGCAAATACAACATTATTACTAACACCAATTAAAATAATTTATGCCATCATGAGTCAATTAAGATATGGGCTAAATGTCAACGAGACAGCAACTCTCCGACAAATATTAACATTAAATCCAGAGGTCAACATAAAGTCTTGAAAACAGACCGGTGTCCTACAATATGTCTAGCGCTTATGGTCTCGAGTCCATATAGATCTGTAAACTTTAAATACATCACCGTACAACCAAGATACCAACGAGCTTTGCAATTAATTTAATATACACAAATAGGACAAACTCTTTCAAATTGGTATTTTGATCATTTAGGTGTACTTATCTGCGGATTATACTTGGTTTCGCTGTATCAAATAATTAGAATATTTGCATAAATTTTAATGCCCTAACCAATCCCCGTGGTTGTGTTTTGATATCCTGCAAGTTTAAAGAAAAACAACATCGAAAACTACTTTTCCGTTGAGTACGCAAAATTACAAGATTAAGAGCATAGACTGGTCGACTGTTAATCATAATAATGTGAGCCATAATGATGACGCACGTGTTTTAAAAATACTACTTTCGTCCTGAATATATATGTGTAATTTTCGCCGGACATAACAGATTTTAATGAGCAAAAGAATATATACATATGTCATGTATTCAGTAAACTGTCATAATTGTGATGCCCGAAATGATACTTCAAAAGAAACGGTACCATAAATTTTGTAATTGCTTCATTTAATCCTTGGAATAGAAATTTCAATCTTTTGTTAATTTCCACATAGTATATTACATATGCGGTGATATACAAAATAAATAAATCATCTATCGTAGTATGGGGAACTCAAACCGTTGAAAATAGAAATCAAAATTGATCTGGATAAGGTGAATATCGTTTCTTGTCGGAAAGTGTTCACCGCCTAAAAATAATAAAGCCCTTCCCCAACAGTTCCAGCATTTGAACAGTTGCTCCAAAAGAAATAAATAATAATAAATGCTAGAAAATAATTGAAAATAATCTCAGTCCACCAGATATATACATCTGCATACCAAATTATTGTAAACATTTTGCACAAAAATATTCGCAAAACATTATGACAGTTGTATTAAGTAATCTTCCACTTTATTTTAACGTTGGTGGATAGTGGTTTCTTTGGCAATCATACCACATCTCGTTACCTTTGTATTAAGTAAAATAAAATGTAATTTTCATAAAATACATTTTGAGCAAATTTCTAAAAAATTATAGAAGTCATGGCTTTTAACTGAATATTCTTTCAAGTAGAGAGCACATACCAACTAATCTCTTGTAAAATTATAAGATTGAATGTTTTGCTATCAATTTGATTTAAGCAACAATTGAACTATTGTGTGCCTATAATTAGCAACGACAAATATCACACCAATGGCGTAATATTAAATTGTTGAAAAGTTAAGATGCGAATATTAGTTAAATAGGAAAAATTTAGTATTATGGCATTATTCAATGTTATTGGTTATGATCAAATAATTGTTTTGTTTGATACACAAGACTTTATTGACATTTTAAACTTTTTGAGACAAGGATGAAAAGTAAAATGTGCAGAATGTCCTAATTTAGGTTGCTGATTGTTACTAGTTCTCGTGTTTAGCGAATAGTTTTAAATACTATTTTATATGCTAGGAGTCATCCCGTCTCTAAAGTCAGAATGAAAATAAACTCCTATTTTCCTAAACATAATTTGACGAAACGTTCATTGATAACGACATTTTTCTTACAATGACGTTATACCTCCATATGCCTGGATATGACACGGCAGGTCACATATGTGTTGTTATCTCATTCCTGTAAACATTTCATCTTTTAATATTTTTGTTACATACCACTTTTGTTGCCTTTGTTTCTTCTGATGATAAAAACTATAAGAATGATGAAAACTGCAAATAGAACCGGATAACCACAGGCGAGAACAATTGATAGCGCAGAAATTGAAGTTGATTTTGACGTTGATTTTTCAGTGAGTTCAACTGAAATATATATATAAAAAAAGAGGGGATTACAAAATACAAATATTACCGTTATTATAATTGTATTTTATGTTCCAACCATTCAACTTTTGTAAAAGGCATAGTTTTGTTTTCGAAACAAACAACATTATTTTTAAAATCAAATTTAATAAAAAAAAAAAAACAATTCTCAATAACATACATGAAAAGTTCATGCTTTTTGTTTTAACTTATTTCCGATTGAAATATACAAATTTTTCTTTCCCTTAGGAAACAAATAAAATTTTCTTACAAAACATAGAAACAGACAATTTATAGCAAACATATTCGTCAGAATCCATTTTCTTTAAGTAGAGAAAATTAAACCGAAGACATTTATCGGAATCACTAGAATGTTTGATTACCTGTCGACAAATGGGCGCTACTGTGGCAGCAATTCATATGTATCAAAAAATTCTTTGAATAAACATGCATTTAGAAACAATATACTATAAGAAAATAATATGATGCTGTTTTTATAATATCAGTGTTACATGAAGCAATTCAACTACATTATATAAAACAATACGAATATGTTCCATGATTGTTAACATGTTAAAAATACAACTACAATGTATCCACCAGTGACCATGATTTATTAAAAAAAAAAAGAAACAAAAATGGCAGACCATGACCAACAACAACCACTAGGTTTTTGACGAGGGATAGAAATATACAAAATGTTGCGGGGTTGAACGTGTGAAAGAGTTAACACAATCTGGAGCAGTGGTATAACAGTAAATCCTAATGGTTAAACATTGTTCAAGAGGCTTGCATCATCAAATCGCAAAAAACAAAATAAAAGACAAGAGAAGAGAAGAGAAAAGAAGAGAAGAGAAGAGAAGACACAAAGGTCCGATCTAAGAATTCTATCAGCTAATGAAACAATGTCAACTAATAAATAAACCATGTTTTCTGGACTTATTGTATATGGGTATCAGTACAGATTTATTCTTATATAGGAAAAATGCTTTTTGTTCAAAGAGCAAAATTATATAAATATTAGCATTTTACGTAATTCTCATTACATGATGTACACAAATTACACAGAAAAATGTAATTCAAAATAAAACAGTTGTGTCATTTAAGATTTTGATATGTATGTATCAGTAAATATCGATTGTCTAGATGTCTTTTTTGTTTTGATTATATGACTTTTTGGTTTGTTGTACCATACTCTTTTACTTATAATTTGTGTTTAATAATGCATAGTGATTATAAACAATAAAAGAGCAGCAAAGCAACAACTTATAAAAACAAAGAAGAACGTAAATAGATACATTATTTAATCCCTGAAAATGAATAAAAGATTTAATTTATTCAAGCCTTTAAAATTATATTCTTCTTTAATAAGAATCCAAAGCTTTAATTTGAAAACTTGCAGTAACGTTAATTGTTATGTTACTATGACGTCATTAACATGCAGAATTTTACTTATATCATTTCAATAATAGGCTTTTGTCAAACTATATATGATAAAGAGCTATTTGGCAAAACTTTAAGAATTTTTGGTCCTCAACGCTCTTCAACTTTATTTGGCCTTTTTGAACTTTTTTTATTCGAGCGTCACTGATGAGTCTTTTGTAGACGAAACGCGCGTCTGCCGCAAATACAAAATTTCAATCCTGGTATCTATGATGAGTTTATTTACCCCCAAAAACATTTTACTTACATTTATATTTTTTAAATAATTTGTGTACCAATATATCTGTAATTTCTATTTTCTTCCTCTATGCTAAATATTAAAGTCAAGATCACAATATCAGACTATGTTGGCAGTTTCTGGTTTGTGCATTAGATGTATGTAGTTTAAAGCATGTTGGCAGTTTCTGATTTGTGCATTATATGTATGTAGTTTTATGCGATAACACCAATATGTAAGACAAAATTCAAAAATTGATGTCAGACAATGACTTATGAGCATCAGTAGAATGTCATTCGATAGATTTATAATATTTTTTTTAATTTTCAAATGCAAGGAGGATAACAGTGGCCTCATCAAACAATCTCCTTTAACAAATTGAAAAAAAAAAACAAAACCAAACAATGAATAAAAGAACAAAAACGGAAGAACGCGAATTGCAAACTGGAGAAATACCTGAGTGAAACAAAAAGTATCAATCATATTGCTGAACTAACCTTTTGTTTTGAATTCCAGAGATGCATTCCTGTGTCCATGGATGTTTGTTGACAAAACCATTACTTGATATCGCGTGTCTGGTTTAAGCTGGTCCAATTTGTAGTATTCCGTACACCCCGTTCTACTTTCATTAGTATGCACATCATTTGCGTCCAATTTGTCATCATCTGTAGTTTTAAAATGAACGGAAAAAGTTTGATGGTGGCCGCCATTGAATCCAGCAATCCAGGATAAAATTACTGACCTGTCTGTGATTAATCCGACACTAAAATACTGTGGTGCTTCTGGCATATCTGAAATAAAAGCAAAACATTTTTTTCGTTGGATTCATCTTACGGAAATATACATCATCTGTACTCATTTACGTTATTCACAACCGTTAATTCAAAATATCAAAATGATTCTTTTGATTTGAAAAAAAGATGTATGAATGAAAATACATAACTCCTATGCAGATTTAAATAATGGGAAAGTGACAGCTGTTAATTGTGTAAATTGCTTATTTCGTTTAGAAACATCAAAGCATGTTCAGTAGTTAGGACATGTGGACAAAATGCGGTGATGATAGGAAATACAAGCCCAGGAAAAAAATAGCAAATATGCTCATTAGAATCTTAAAACATGTTGCCAAAAATACTTTCATCCATGTCAAAAGGCACTGGATATCATTCATGAAGGGAAAATATAAACATCAATAAATGAAGATGATGGAATGCCGTGAATGAGACAATAAGAATAAGGATTAGCCTAGGTCTGCAACCAAACAAAAGTTTCTATAACCATACGCTAAGCGTTCAAAATGCATTTAGACTTAATAAAATAGAGAATGGAAATAGGGAATGTGTCAAAGAGACAACAACCCGAACAAAGAGTAAAAAGCAGCCGAAGGCCACCAATGGGTCTTCAACACAGCGACAAAATCCTGCACCCAGAGGCGGACTTTAGCCGGCCCCTAAAGTTATTTAGCATATTTTTAACAATTTTTTTAAATTTTTTAAATTTCTTCTGGTTTGTCAATCTCCTTGGGGGGGGGGGTAGGCCCTTACCTTGATGTGTGATAGGAAGAAACTCTATAATATGTAACATTTTCCTGCTTCATGATATGTGAAACGGTCGAGATTGTAGGATAAAATATATGACAAGGTTGCTGATTGAACCAAAAGTATCTAAATGAAACTGATGCGATTAAAACTACAGTCATAAATGCTTCAGTAGTTTGTCAAATCTTAAAAATCTTCATGACATAGCGTAAGACTTAGTATGATAGATATAAGTTTTTTTTTCAAAATTATATAATAGGTTATGTTTTTTGTTACTCGGTTATTCCAAATATAGGAAAATTGTGAAGTACTCATTGTTTCAGCTATTCATCCCTACCACAAACAGGACAAGTGAGCCCCTTCGTTTTCACTCCGAGGCTAATCTGACATGCTTTGTATTACATGTATTAACAAGATCACATTTTATACAAATAGATATTAGTTATTGTTTTCAACAAAAACAGAAACACATTTTGATTTGACTAAAACTATAATGACTTGATTACTTAAGAGGTATGACTCAAATAAATTGGAGTTATATTATATTTTATTGCTGTATACCATTAAGCCTTTAACCCAATTTGGGTTTTTATGTATTTTTTTAAAATAATAATATGGTTGCATGTAATGCAAAATGAAATAGCTTTCAAAAATACAAGACGTATGTGATCATTTTAACATCGTGAAGAACGTCAAACAAACAACAGAAATAATAATAATAATACAAATTATGTAATACTTATTATTATAATCATTAAAAAAATAATAATAATCATATTAACAATGATATGATAATAATGATAACAACAATAATAATAACAATAGTATGATTAATAATAATTTTTCTTTGCAATCGATTCGATAAAAAACTTGTTACTAGACATTAAGCAAACAACAGTTCAGTCGTTCCGAACAATACTGTAACAATGTTCATTAAAATAATAACTATAATTATCATAATAGGTGGTAGTAGTAGTAGAAATAGAAGAAGTTACGGTGTTTGTTGGAGACGAAGTTATATTTTTTTATTTCAATAACAATCGTTAGTTCAGAAGAATATAATTGAATTATCTGCATGTGTATGCTGCTTGCTCATGATGTGATAATTTCAACGTTTATTGATACATACACTACAAACCAGTAAAAGTCTGAAATGGCCTATATAATTATGTACTACTCGACTGTACTGATTTTTACTCGACCAATCTGAATTGGTCTGAAATTTACTTGATATAACTCGACCCCAATCTAAACCATACTCGACTCTAATGATTTGTACTTAACCCTTATCTTTGCCATTGAAAATAGTCTGAACTATTACTCAAATAGTCTGAAACAGTCTTAAGGCTCCGTGTTGAAGACCGTACTTTGACCTATAATGGTTTACCTTTATAAATTTTGACTTGGATGGAGAGTTGTCTCATTGGCACTCATACCACATCTTCTTATATCTATTAACCCATTCTCGCCCAGTACTCGACCAATACTTGACCACTTCTTTACCTATTTTTTCAGTCTGAACCATACTCGACCAAAGGTCTGAACAATACTGGACCAGTCTGAACCATACTCGACCAAAGGTCTGAACAATACTCGACCAGTCTAAACCATACTTGACCAAATAACCTCTACCTTTTTTTATTTGAACTGCTTAAATAACCTTTTTTTTAACTGACATGACAACAGCTAAAATAAAGTAAAGATATATGAAAACAGATTTTTACAGCCTTACATGATTATCAGATTTATCAAATCGAGATAGTTAAATTATCTAATTTTAAAATCTTGAGTCTTGTTAAAAAAAAAATTTTCTTTTACCTGAAAACCACACCTGTTCTGAAAGTAATAAAATCTTATTAAGGAGCTTCTTTTTTGGCATGTGTTTTTTTTTTTAAAGAACTTAATTCACCTAAATTCTTAAATAAAAACTACATAGGTTTCATGGTTGTACACATAACAGTTATATAACTATCTTTTTTAACTGAGGTAATTACAGCCAACAAAATCACTGAAATTCTTAACTTCATATCAGAACTAAACCTCTTGTGATTATAATTGGAATATTTCTATACTGTGGATTCATTAATTTTCGTTGGATACCAATGTTCGTGGATTTCGTGGGTACAGGTTAACCACGAATTTAAATATTCAACGAATTGCAAATTTCCATTGGTTTTTATGCAGACTTTTGCAAAACCACGAAATCAAATATCCACGAAAGTGTAAGTTTTCCTCAATCAACGAAAATTTGTACCCACGAAAATAAATGAATCCACAGTATACTGTAAATTCAGAAATGATTGCGTGCATTTATTATTGCGATTTTGTCATTTTAGATTAAAATGCGATTTTAATTTTTGCGATTTTGAGAAAAATCCTGTTTAATTCATATGCAAAATTTTATAATTCGAGTTTAAATTATTGCGTATATAACCCTGTCGCATTTTTCGCAATAATTTCTGAATTTACAGTATATATATATATCTAAAAGGGATAAAAAAAATAAAGAAATTGTTAAAATTATTCTACTGATTAGGAGTAAACTATAAAGTGATACCTCCTGCTTGGGACACAGTCATTAAAAAGATCACATGGGACAGAAAGTAATAAATTTTAAATAACAGGGTTTTCTTTTTACCTTTAAAACAAACCTGTACTGAGGTAACTAAAACTTATTAAAGTGCTTCTTGTAATATATGCCATGTCTTTAATTTTGACACAATTTAAATAATCAACCTGAATTTGTACTGTAAATTTGGAACACAATTTTTGTTTAAAAGATTTTATCAAGGATTGCTATGGAAGTTCTATTATATTAAAGACTTGGTTTTACAAAACAAAGGTGTAATTTTAAATTTTTTAAGTTGCTTTATATACAATAAAAAAAAATCACTGCGTTTTAACTAAACATGACTGACACCACAAATCTATACCATGTTTAAGTAAGTAGGGTTGATAATTTTCCAGTAACCATAAAATATATCTGAAACATTCAAAACATTTTCAATACCCTTTAAGTTATTTGAATAATGGTTGAAAGTTCTAGTCTTTCTGATGTACATAATGCAATGTGAACATGATATCATGTATATAAAAATTCATTTAACTGTAAACTTAATTTGTTACATGATATTTTTTTAATCTGACTAGTCTGAAACAGGTATCGGTTTTGCTCATTGTTGAAGGCCGTACGATGACATATAGTTGTTAATTTCTGTGTCATTTGGTCTCTTGTGAAGAGTAATGTCTCATTGGCAATCATACCTCATCTTCTTTCTTACATACATTACTTCCTTTGATCATCTTGTTTTATGTCCATTTTAAAGGTCATACACATTCTAAATTGAAAACGATGTTCAAACCTATGATTGCGTTGGATAAAAACCGCAATGTTTATACGTGTGCATGCAAAACAAATTTCTTGGTAGAGGGGTCTAAATACAGCACAAACAACATTTTCCAAAAGACCAAAAAAGTGAAAAAGTATATTTCAACAAAACGCATTTGACTGACAGGTCGAACAACTGATGTTCTTAAACCCTGCTGACTGCCATTGGCGATTGCCAAATAAACTCATCACAAGATGTAACAAAATGGATCTTTGAAAATTATTAATCTAATACCAAACAGAAAACAATACATTTGCGGAAAAGATGGTATACCGCAAAGAAAAGGTGCACAAATTAGTACATCATATCCGGATTTCGACAATTAATGTCTCTTCAGTGATGTTAAGAAAACGCATTTGACTAGCAGGTCGAACAACAGATTTTCTTATACCCTGCTGACAGCCATGGCGATTGCCAAATAAACGGATCACCAGATGTAACAAAATGGATCTTAATTATAAATTTCAAACCAAACAGAAAACAATATACTTGCGGAAAAGATGGTATACCGCAAACGTAAGGTGCAAAAATTGGTACACCATATCCGGATTTCGACAATTAATGTATCTGCAGTAATGTTAGGAATCGAAACGGTGTTCGTTAGGCCATATAATTTACCTCAATTAATAAGTGTTGATGAATTAAGGTGTATATTATGTTTATTGTTAAATATTGGGGTCAATGCTATATCATGCATATTAAATACATTTTTGATCTCAAGTTGTTGTTCAAATTTCTAGCCAAGTGAAATGTCTGTTGTTCAAAACAGTTCCTTAGTTAATGAAATATAATAGATGGATAGAACAAATAGGTGTAGATTGGTTAAGACTTGATCGAGTAAGGTTCAGACTAGGTCGAGTATGGTACAACTACGTCGAGCATGGTTCATACTTGGTCGTGAATTGTTCAGACACTTATAAAATGGTTAAGTACTGGTCGAGTACAAGTTCTGACTGTTAAGTATGGTTCAGACTACAGTTGAGTAATATCTAGTAAATTTCAGACTAATTCAGACTAGTCGAGTAAAAATCAGTACAGATATAGGCCATTTCAAACTTTTACTGGTTTGTAGTGATGTTTAATCAAATAAGAATTGAATTTATAAATAAAAATGTAGTTACCTTCCGGTTTCAACGTGATATTTTCTACAATACATCCTAATGTATTGCATATTTCTATTCCGCGTTCACCAAAACCATCTTCCGACGTAATGTGTATAGTAGAATTAATGTTGTATCTGTAATCGTATTTGTCTTTTCGGACCGTCCATACGAATGAAGTCATACGAAACCACGTTACAGTTGGTGCCGGAAATGATACTACATTCATTACTATGTGTACATCGGTGTTGGTCTTTGTTCCTATTTTGCGTTCTGTTTTAACATCCCGAGGTTTACCTGCATTACATATTTCAATTGTTACCAGACAATTACGAAGCAATACAGTCTATAAATGTTACATTAGATAAAACACTATTTTTTTTTATCCCATCCTAAAATCGTTTGATTTGGACGACGTTCAGACTTATTTTCCTAAATAGTTTAATCTTCTTAATATTACAAGTGCAGCTCTGAAGTATTATTGAAACTTAGTTTACCTTATTAACATATTAATTATCAGTATTTTTAACACTAGTTAATGAATGCAGTAGCTTTACCGGTCAAATACAACAAATACATAGTCTGAACATAGAATTACAGATCTTAATTAGCTGCAAGCGAATTGCCTGATGAGTACTGAATTAACTGCAGTGGATAACTCGCATGTTTTCACGGAAAGACTGAAAATGTCTAAATGATTATTTGTTGAGTCTTTAAAGAGGTGCTCTGATCAAAATTATTTTACCAAAAAGAAATGAGGTCAGCGCTTTTCAATTTTTAAATTCACATTTGTATGTAGCAACATTCCGACAGCGCCTGCATATATATGGGGAATAAATCTACCAATTGATACAATATTCCAGACCTTGCGTTTTCTCTAATGATTTCCTATATCAAGGGTTGCTGCTTATAAGAAATCTATTGAACAAGCTTACAATGAAGCTATTGAATCAAGAGCTCAAATTGGTACATTTGAAGTCATCCCTTCGAAAATTTACGGATGCAATTACTAGTTTGTTAACCGTTATGGAATAACTTTGTCACAGAAGACACCGGATATGTTCCAATAATCGTTACAACGATCCTGTTCTCTTTCTTTTGATTGTTACACATCGCCGAATGAACCTCATCACAATATGTGTATTAACTATGAGTAATAAAGTAGGTGCCAATAACAGAAAAGGATCTGCTTAACCTTTCAGAGCATCTCACATCTTCCTGTTTTTATTGGGGTTCTTATTGTCTTCATTTTTCTATGAATTGTTTTCTGAAACTGTTTGTCATTTTCTTTCGAATTTTGAGTTTGAATGTCCCTTAAATTCTTCAGCCTCTTTTTGTTTTAATCTTCATTTTTGGGTTGGCAAAACGTTCATCATTGAACACAAAAGACAATCACTTGACTACAATTAAGGAATGATAAATTACAACAAAAAATAAAAAACAGATTATATTATATATACACAAGTACTGAAAGCACCTGCTAAACAAATGCCAATTACAAAATATACCGTCATACATTTAACATCGGTTACTGTAATTTCAGACTGGGATTTCATACAGCAATGTAATGAACAGTAGTACTTTGAACAATGCCTAAAAGAAATTATGCCGAAAAACAAAAGTAGCATTTTAGTATTGCTTTAAACTATAAAAAGCGAATTTATATTTGTAAAAAAAAAAAAAATTGTACAACAACAGTTTACTTATAAAGCCAATAAGACAGCTTTGAATGACAATTCCTAAAAGTATTAGCTTCATAAACCGGATAATCATAAAGGGCTGGATGCGAATTACTACTTCTTATTAATCATACAAAAGAGATGATTTCAGCTTTCCAATAATGCACTTTCCATTTCTATATAGCAACATTCCAGCAGCGCCTGCATATATATACGGAGAAAATCTCACAGGGCATATGATATTCCAGGGCTTGTTTTTCCTATCATGACTTCCTTGATAGAGGGTTGCTGCTGACAAGGAAGCTATCAAACCAACAGTTCCAAGTGGTGAAGTTGATATCATCCCTTTGTAAATTTTATGGACGCTACACGGGTGTCATATGTGGAGCAGGATCTGCTTATCCGTCCGGAGCACCTGAGATCACCCCATGTGTTTGGTGGGGTTCACGTTGCTCAGTCTGTAGTTGCTAAATTGTGTTTTGTGTACAATTGTTTGTCTTTTTTTTTTTTAGTCTTGGCGTTGTCTGTTTTTTTTTTCAACATATGATTTTGAAGTCCATTTGGTATCTATCGACTCTCTTTCATAATAAATTTCTGTGTCAGTTAGTGAATTTTTGTAAAAGACTTGACCAGTTTTTTGTATATATATTCCTGCCTTAAAGGCCTTTTGAAGTAATGAAAATGTAACAGTATCTGAAATATGAGACTCGATCTATTATGCTGGAAAACAGAAGCAGCCAACGAAACATCACTTCCAAGGAAATGATAATTAACAATTGTTCCATTTAAATAAATCTATATACGTTGTTACCCTGTGAATGTCTAATATCAAGATCCCTATAAATTTTCAGATATTTATTATTGAATCAGTTCAAACTGTCCATTTTTTCACTTCCTTAAAGTGTCAAATATTAAGTCACTTACAACAGTATACCGTGATTTGTTAATTCTTTACTACACAAATTTATCCGAAGGTTTGACATTTTTGACTGGGGAATAGAAATTTAGACTTCTATCGACCTGGCCATAACCCCCTTTGCAAGCCAAAACATTTGTTTCTTTCCATCAAACACACTGTCAAGTTACAATCCACATCTCCGTCCTCTTCACTCCGATCGACCTGCCTTACAAAACCTATTTTCTGTGTGAATTGTTTAATTGGTCTTGTCCTTCAAAATCATGCATTATTTAGTACTAGACATTAACAATATTAAGTCTTATTATATTTTCAAAATTAACACTTTCGTTGCAAAATAGTATTTTTTCTAGAACATACACGGTCATACAGACCAATTATGATAAACACAATGATGTCCCATATAAATAAAGGAGTTGCATGTTATGCCATTTTTACTTGTTTTTAATTATGTTGGTTATTATACATTTTCTATCCTTTAAAGTAATTGTACACAATGATCTATACAAAAAAAACCAATTCTTAAAGATATTTAAAGATCCTTGCTAACATGTTTTTTTCAGTAACTTTTTAACTACACTTACATCGTATCACTAACTTGACTGTTCTGTTGTCTCCATATTCTATACCATTACTAGTGTGTATTGTAAAGTTTCCAGAATTTTCACATTTAAGAGAAGGTAGTTTTGTTATGAAACCATCAGACAGTTTGGTATAAAGTAAAGTTGGAAACTTCAACAAGGAGGAGTGAATTACTATTTGCGGATCTGGGTTACTAATAATACGGATTGTTATCGTTAGATGATTGCCTTCACTGAAACTATAGATTGTAGGGTTTCTCGATCCATATGTTAAATTTTTATCACTTAGCCAAAGTGCTTCAATTTTTGGAGAATCTGAAACGAAATGTACAAGACTTCATAACAACGAACATATACTGTAATCGTATATATTTTCTCAACTAGATTCATAATTGTTCGTGTGGATGTAAAACACGCGTATCAAATAATGTGCCCTTCCCATCAATATTGTGAACACGGTCTGTTTAAAATTACATTAAGGTCCTTAATTATGTTCACATGGTTTCAAAGTCTTTAGAGCATTTAAACACACAAATATATATATGTTTGTTTAAACAAAGTTTATTAATACATAATGCTATTTACAATTACTGTCTTTGGGGGACTGATGAGCAAAAGCGATCAAAGTGCAAAACATTAAAGAATTCCTTTGAAAATGAGAGCTTAAGAAATATTGATTATGAACTAGATTTTCCTTTTTCAGGTCGACATGATCTTTTTATTTATGGACGCTTACTACAGTCACAGCTGTATCATAAATCTTCAGATAAAATAAATAGATGAAATTTGTTCATGTATGATATAAAATAATGATACACCATGCAATGTTGTGATGGACGAGGAGTTCGAAGGATTTTTATCATGTTGTAACGATTGAAGCGTAACCTTTGTATCTTTATTGAATGAGTTTTCAAAGAATCACAAGTCGATGTCATCTTTACAATTCATATTCATGTTAGTATGAGTACAAAATAAATTCGAATATGTCAATCTGAAATGTAAATATTTTCAAAATTGTAAATATTTAAAAAAATAAATGATTATGTAATACAGTTTCGATTTCGAAAAAATTAAAATCATTCAACTAAAACAATACTCTGAGGAGATATTTCACTACTAATACTTACACTGTACATTAACTGATATATCTGTTCCTTTCAGACGTTGTGTATTAGAAGGATGAACAACTAAACAACGGTAGACCCCGGCCTGATTCTCCTTTATATTTGCTACAACTAGAGTTTCACCGAAAAAGACATGTTCAAAAGTTCTTGTTTTAATTAATTTCCATTCGAACAAACATTTCGGATTGCAGGTTGCAGTACAACGAATAGGACCTAATGCAGTTCCTTCTGTAACATTGAGTGCTGTGATTTCAGGTTCCAGCTCAACATTGTCAGGACCATCTACATTAGTTAAATAGCATATGATAATGTTGGGCAAAACCCATAAAAACATTCAATTAAAAAGTTAAACAGGTTTTTAAGAAAGGGGGAAATTAATATCATCAATGGAGGCAGATAAAAGTATGGCAGATATCAAATGACAAAAAGGCAAAACACTTTAAAAGAGTTCACAAATCGTTATACAAATAAAAATCACATACTGATAAATAAGACCTGCATTTTAAACCGGATGTGAATTTGGCTATTTTTAGAGGGTATCACATTATGTATGTTCGTCTAGCTCTACTAGTAGATAGTTAAATGATTATGTTTTGAACATGGTAACTGCTTTAAATACATAAGCTACCTATCAGTTTAACGGAAAATATGTTATATACATTTCAGAGTAAATCAAAACTACAATATTTCATTTATGCTTGAAGAAATTTAGAATATAATAGTTTATCATAATTATTACTAATATTACGTTTTTTATTATAATCATAAATTATTATCGTTATCCGTCAAATTTGATTTTTTGCTGGTTGCAAATAAACATTACTAACTATTTTGTGAGCCTTTAATAGGTAAGAGCAATATTCATTATATTGCAACATATGCAAGTCTTGTATAGACAATAAGTACAGCTTTAAAATGAAACGCATGTCTATATCAGAGGAATTGAGATTTATAAATTTATATAATACTTACAATAAGGATCCAAAGTAACATCATCACTCTTGATAGATACTTTATGATGATCATCAGTTGCCTGACATGATATGTCTTTTCCTTTATCCGACTTAGTAAGTGTGTGTATCATTAACCTATTGTTGACAGTAGCTCCTCGTTGGTTCCCATTGAATTGATATGACAGGTGTGAAGTTCTATATTCTGCAGGCCACCGCTGAACCGTTGAATGACACGTGAAGGTAATGTTATCACCGACAAATGGATGTTCAGCGTTAATGGTTAAAGTTGGTTTCATTGGTTTAGCTAAAATATTAATGAACAGATTCATTTATAATTTATTTGATTAAAATTGAATAAGGAGATTTGATATGATTGCCTATTCAAGATAGACCAGATAAGGATGATGATAGCAACATAAGGTCACCGTATGATCTTCGACAATAACCAAAACAGGAGTAAGAAACATGGCAAAGACAGCTATAAGTCCAGTGGTTGTCGTTGGTTCACGTCTGTAATAATAAGGTTTCTCAATTAAATTGTTTCACATTTTTCATGTCGTTGCCTTTTATAGCAGACTTTGCAATATGAGTTTTTCTCATTGTTAAAGGCCGTACGGTTGCCTATAATTTCTTACATCCACTTAATTTGGATTTTGGTAGATAGCTGTCTAATTGGAAATCATACCACACTTCCTGAATTTCATAAAAAAAGGGCTTAATATGACAGAATGTAAAACAGTTAAAAATGAGAAAACCAACGGCCTGATTTCAAAACACAACAGTAAACGAAAAAAAATCTAATTATGAAATGCAACAACAAAAGACAACTATTGAGTTACACACTCCTGATTTGGAGCAAAACATACATAATGTTTGTGAACGCCAAGCTTTAACTTAGGACAGTTGTGTGACAGCATTAAATACGATCGAACTTAAATAAAAAACCAATTGAACGGGCTAGACTTATGAACATTTTACTATTTTAGAATAAGCTACTTCAAATGATTGACAAGCTTGCATAGCATGTATCTACATTTACGAATTCTTTTTATAGCATCACCGTTACACAATAGGATTGACATCCCAAATACAGCCAAACTTCCAAATAAACTAATCATAGATTTCAGGCTAAAAATGTTTTACGCTAGACGAGTGTTTTGTCTACAAAACACACATCAGTGACGCTTGAATAGAAAAAGATAAAAAGTACGAAGGTCTAGAGCAATGAAGACACAAAATCTAAATCAAATCTTTGTATCTATAAAAGAATTTAATAGCGGTTTTGAGTAATTTGTTGTAATGAAGTCTTTGGCTTGATAATTTACCGTTGATACAAATATTGCGTTCATTGAAATCTTTAACATCACTTATGAAACGGGCACACCATTTTGTTGGATTATATAAAAGCCTTAAAGGGCACTATTACATTAAATAGTACAAATAGGAATCCCTACAATCGGTCCATAAACTTTATAGATGAAACGTACAACGATGTTGTCAAGGACTAATTGTACAGCTTCACTCATCTCATAACACTTTAGGTAAACTATATATCTAGCATATTTACTTTATTCATTACAGAAGAATGCTCTATTTGCATTGAGTTGAAGCTAATTAATTGGCAATCAGATTTAACTAGATGGAACGACTTTTGTTTAACATGATGATGCGTTAGTGTTATAACATGTAGAAAGAGGGTCGAAAGTCAAATATGTCAACCGAATTGTACATGTAAGGACAATAAAAAATACTTCATTTATATAAAATATCCAAATATATTTTTACATTCCACAAATAGTTCATACTTTTATGAACATATTGATTTTTTTCAGGAGTAAACGATACGTTTTGATATTAATTATGAAGCAAGTTTAACGCACTAAGAGATCTGTTGTCTCTGAACAAGGGGCAGAGATTTAACGATATTTTAATGGTTTATTGAATTAATTTAGTTATTTGTTTTGTTCTATTGTAGATTTCTTACACTGCCTTTTTTGGTGTTCAGTGATTTTCTTTTGAAAACATACACTTGATGTTATTATTATAGTTCTATGAAATTATTTTTAGATAAGTTTATTGGATAGTCATATAACAATATTGCATTAACTTTGAGACTCGAATAAGTTCTACAATTTACATGATATAGACCCAATAACGAGTCAAAATGGTCATGAAATCAATTGTGAGTAAAGCAAATTCAAACCTATCACAATGTTTCAACGAGTTAAGAATAGTTTATATTGTAATAATATCAAAACCTTTGAACTTTTTACGTTTTATACTACTGTGCCCCTTTCTCAAATATACTAGCGACTACATCCACTCATTTAAACGAATTGTTTTGTAAACTAAAATGGAAAACTTAGGTACAGATCTTTATTGTGGGTCAGAAAAAATTACACTGATTGAAACACTTTATGCATCGAAGATGATGTCTTCGTATGCTGGACTTTTTCATCGACATCATATTTGTTGAGTTTGGTGAATTGGTATTTCAACAGACAGTCAGTATTTCAATCGGGACTAGTTGTGCACCACTACTAGCCACTACTGTTTTTTACGCATATGAAGTAGTATTCATACAGAACCTACTCAAAGACAAAATGAGAAAGTATCTGGCAAATGTTTTAATTTCGCCCTCAGGTATATTGATGATGTCACTCAATTATCCATATTTCAATGAGTCATGTGAGTGTTTATATCTCATATATCCCAGTACACATGATATTAAGGATACTTCCCGTTGAGGAAGGTCTTCTACATATCTTGATCTTTTCCTCTATACTGACACAGATGGACGACTTCATACTAGAATTTTTGACAAACGAGATTATTTCAAAGAGAAGAGAACTATACAAAATAAAATAAAATCACAAAAATACTGAACTCCGAGGAAAATTCAAAACGGAAAGTCCCTAATCAATTGGCAAAATCAAATGATAAAACACATCAAATGAATGGAAAACAACTGTCATATTCCTGACTTGGTACTGGCAAGGGACGAACAAACTCATAAGTCGACATCAAACCGGCAATGCTATGAAAAAAGACCAAAAGACCAACAATAGTATATAAAACACAACTAAGAAACCTTGAACCTGAGAAACACGAACCCAAACAAAACCAGGGTAATCTCAGGTGCTCCAGAAGGGCTAGCAGATCCTGCTTATCATGTTGAAATCGTCGTGTTGCTCAGAAAAGGTCTTTTCAAATTTCCTTTTCGCAATAGTAGCATACCCTAAGCTCCGTCGTATGGTTTTTTTTTATATCTTAGATAATACGTTACGCTCTTGCATACTCACACTATACATATCTCTTCAACAGGGTTTGCAGCCAACATAGCAACTTCACCGACAGGGTGATGAAAAAGAAAGCTTGAAATCGACATTACCTACGTTTGATGTTCACAGTCACGATTTGATTGACCGATTTGTCAGTGTCGTACTTACTTTCGAAATGTTATTCCGGTCTGAGATTTTAAGATAATACATGTAGTTAAGTCGTCAAATCTGTTATTGATTGTGTATGTCCTACCCCCGATTGTGATATTTTAACTGAGAGTTAACTTGCAAGGCGGGTGATGCATACATATCAAGAGAAACGTGCCCTATGGACGCTCCCGGTCTCGCTCCTTTTGGAATTCATTTAATTCCCTGTGTTTTTCTTTGTAAAATTGATTATTCTCTTCTTAATCGAATACTGACGTTTTGAATGTAACCTATCTACTGTCGACTTATTTGTAGCTTTTCTGAATCGTGTAGCAGTTATTTTATGTTGATATGCTGTCATTTTTCTAAATAGTTAGGTATTGGGTAATGCCTGTTATTTTTAATGTATTATCACAAAGATTCCACGGTTGACTTAATTAAACGTTAACTAGTTACTTCAGTAAAACATGACTAAGTGAAGAAAAATTACAAAAAAACTTCATCGGTTGACTCACTTTAACGTGCATAAATCTGTGCTTGATTAGATAATAACACAGAAAATTTTGGGTTTTTCGGCTTATTGAATGAGTGTACGTTTGTAAATTAAGTTTAATTATTATTTTCACATTGAACCAGGTTGACTAAATATAATGTATCCTATATAAAGACGTATATCTGTTTCAGTTCTTCTTAAAACCATACGTAGGCTTCGTTGTAATTGCCAACTGTCATTAGTTGACCAATTTGTATTTGTTATTTGATACAGTAAC